ATATATGTGTCTACAATATGTGTATATAACACATATATATATGTATAGATATATGTATATATCTAATATTATATATAATATCCACACACATACCGCCCGCTGGGGCGGGCACCGGGACGTCGGTTCCCAGGCGGCCATGGATAAATCCCCGACTCGCAAACTGCTCCGCCTCTGCGCGCCCCCGCTGCCACGCCGCTCGGGGAGGGATATGCCACAAGATGGGTCTACCACCTGTTCGGGCCGGACGCGCGCCTCCGAGGGGGGACACCTAGCACTAGTACGTCTCTGCGCGTCCCGCCCAGACTGCTCCGCCTCTGCGCGCCCCCGCGGCGTGGCGCTGTGGCCACGGTGCCCTGCGGCCCGACGGGGCGCCGCGGCCTCCGCGGCCGAGAAGGCCCCGCCCTGGCGCTGCGCAGGGCCCCCCTCCCCGCGGGGGGCCCGCGGAAGCCGGGCCCGGGCGCGGCGCGGCCCGCGGGGCAGCTCCGCGGGCGCGGCGGGCTCCTGCGGAGGCGTGCTCCCGCACGCGAGCCCCGCGGCCGACCCCGTGGGCCTGCGATCCCCGGCCCGGCCCCCGGGGGCGGCGACTGTGGGCAGGAGCGAGTGGGGGGGCGACGAGTGGGGGAATGAGAGGGGGGGAGGGGGGGGGGTACCCAGGCATGCGACGTCCTGGTTTTCTCAGGACGGCGTCCCTGGAAGTCCCGACCCTTTCCCCGGGACCGGCTTTTCGTCCCGAGTTGTGTTTTGACGGTCCCGAGGCCCGGCGAGGGCCCCCTGGGCCCGAAAATAGCCAAAAACCTCCCGTCCTGATTTTTTCATGACGCGATCATGTCTGGGGAGGAAAGGTGCTCTCTTCGGTCGGGCCCTGGAGGCCCCCCTGGGCCCGAGCGGGGCCCCCGTGGGAGCCCTGAAGGGCCCCTTCTCGGCAGCCCTCGCCTCCCCCCCCTTGATCGCCCCCTCATTCGTCGCCGCCCAGGCAGGGGTGGTGGTGGTGGCGCTGCGCGTGGGGTCCCGAGAAGGTCGGGGCCCGTGGAGATTGTGTCGTCGGGGTCTCAAAGACTGGCCCTGGTGGGTCGCGTTGGCCCCAGAGGCTCAGTGGGCCCCAGTGGCGCCCACCCCTCGCCGCAAGCGAGTCGGCCCATTGTCCGGTACATCGCAGATGGATCGCGCAGCGTTGGTCCCTGCTCCCGCTGGCCGCGGCCCGACGGGGCGCCTGATGATGTTCGGGCTCGGACACTTCGGAAGTCGCGTGTAAACGTGGCATTCCTGCGATGAGGGCACGGGCCGCGCGGGGGGGGGTACGCGAGCCCGGCGCCTACGCACGCGCGCGACGCTCTGGGGCGCGTCTGTCGATAGAAGGACTGCCACGCTGAATGCGCAGCTCACCGTGTGGGAGCATTGCAGGGGGTCGACGAGTAGCGCGACGGCTTCTCCGCAGTTGTTTAGGCCCAGTGCCTGCCCCTCGAAGGCCCCCAAAGCCATGTCCCTGCCGGCTCGGCCTGGAGACATGGGCCCCGACTGAGCCCTGTCTCGTTGCTGGGGAACTCCGTACCCACTCTCGTGGAGAGTGTGTCGTTGGAGTCTCAGTGCTTGGCCCTGATGAGCCGCGTTGACCCCCGATGCCCCGTGGCCCCCAGTGGCGCACACCACTCGCCGCAGGCGAGTCGGCCCAATGCCCCTCGCATCGCAGATGGATCGCGGCCCCTTCGGGGTGGCGTAGGTCGTTGCCTTTGCTAGTCGCGGCCCGACGGGTTGCTTGATGATCAGCGCATCACGGTTGATCGCGGCCTTTCTTGACAGCGTTGGCCCCTGCCTCTCCTGATCGCGGCTCGACGAGGCGTCTGATGAACAAAGGGTCTGGCCACTTCGGAAGTCGTGTGCAAGCATGGGTTTCGAAGTGGTACATGGCTGCAGTGTCTGAAATGACGGTGTGGGCCGCACGGGTGGGCTACGTGAGCCTCGCGCACGCGCGCACACGACGCTCTGGGGCACGCTTGCCTATAAAGAACAGCCATGATGAGGATCATGCTGCTGCTGCTGCTGATGATGACGATGATGATGCTGATGATGATGATGACGACGATGCTGATGCTGATGCTGATGCTGATGCTGATGATGATGATGATGATGATGATGATGATGATGATGATGCCGCCGACGACGACGACGCCGATGACGATGGTGGTGGTGATGACGATGTTGTTCATGATGGCGATGACGGTGCAGCCAACGACGAGGAGGAGGAGGTCCGCACAGGCTCAACCGAACGCGCGCGGTGCTGTATTTTTTCCACCGATGATGACATGGTGGTGATGGTTATGGCGACTGTGATGGCGATGTTACTGTGGCGATGGTGGTGACGATGCTGCTGATGATGGCAATGATGGTGGCTATACTGGTTATGTTGGATGCACTGAGTGATGACAACGAGGGCGGGGTACCTTGGGCCAGAGGGCGCTCCTGTCAGCACCTCGAGCCCGATGGCGCAAGGTCGGCGTTTGCGGGATCCGAAGCGATGCTGCTGCACGGTGCTGAAAAAATGCCCGGCTCGCGCAATCTGTCCCCCCGCTTGCCGCGTTTTACTTTTCGGAGAGTGATAGCCCTCCTACCTGACACGCCGATTAGTGAATTGGCCGTGTTCGGTTCGCGAGAGGGCGTCGCGGCCGTTAGTTTTGCGGGTCCGGGCCCGTCGGCTTCGGTCCCAGGCCTTTGTCTTTACAGGGTGGTCCACTAAAAGGAGGTTTGTCCACCGCCGACGGATAAACCGCAAATCAGCTCCATTTGACAGAGATTCCACCCTCGAAGCATCGAGTCCTCTGCGGTGGCGCGAAGGATGAGGAGGAGGAGGAAGGAGGAGGAGGACAGTAGGAGGAGGCAGGAGGAGGAGGAGGAGGACGAGGAGGAGGAGGAGGAGGAGGAGGAGGAGGAGCAGGAGGAGGTCGAGGAGGAGGAGGAGGAGGAGGAATGGAATGGAATGGAAGGACCCCAAGGGAAAGTGCACGGCACTACAGCCGCGCGCCGCCGCGGCCAGGCGCCCGCGCGCGGGCGCGGCCGGCCGCGGGGCGCTCACGGCGCGGGTGGCGCACGGCGCCAGCGGGCCCCCCGCAAGCGGGCAGCATGGGGATGGCTGGCCAGCTCCCCCCCCACGTTCTGTCGGCCGGAAACGGCCCAGCCGCCGGAAACACCCGGCAGCCGACAGAACGGGTGGGGGCCAGGCCAAACCAAACCCACACCACCCACCCCAGGGGCCCGCCACGACACGACAGACGACGACAGCGACGGCGACGACACGACGAGGAAAGACGGACCCCCCAGCCACGACCCCCACGGGGGACACCTGGCTGGGTAGCCAGGCTCCCGTGGGAGGCTGCGTGGCCGGGGGCCCCCCGGGAAGGAGACCCCGCTCTGGGGGCCGTCCCGGGCGCGGGAGCCTTTCGCCCCTCGGGCCCGGCGCTCCGCGCCTGCGCCAGGAGGACCCTGGGGTCCCGACCCCTCCCCTACTGGAGGGGCCCCCTCGGGGCGAGGAGGAGGAGGAGGAGGAGGAGGAGGAGGAGGTGTCCGGAGGGAGGCCGGCCCTGCCCCTCTCGCGCGTCCCAGCCCAAGGCCGGTGAGAGCCGCCCCTCGGCAGGGCGGCGCCCCGAGGGCCACGACGATGATATATGTCCGCGCGTCGGGCACCGCGGAGCGCGGTGCGCGAGGCGAGGTGGCCGGGGAGCGTCATTTGTGGCATCGCTCGGGCGTGTGCATTTTTTCCTTCGGTGGGGGCCATCGAGGAGCATCCTCGATCATCTGGCGAAGAGAAGCCACGCACGGAAACGAAGAAAAGCACAGGGAATGGACGTCCGAGCGATGGCCAGTCATGGGTGTCTGGCGTTTCTGTCGGAGCGTGTGTGTTGGCAGCGCACCGCCCAGGGTGCCAGCAGCCCCCCACAGCCAGCGCGGGCGCTCCAGCGCGCATCGGCGCGCGCCCAGGGAATCACAGTAGCGGGGGATGGGCTGGCCTGGCACTAGCAGGAATAGTTCATTAGAACAATGATATTACGCATACAACGAAAACGAACAATAATAGTAGTCACAATGACGCGAAGGAAATAACAATACTGATACGTAGACGAAGAATATGAATGATGTTAATGGTACATCTACGAATAACAATCATGTAACACATAATAACATTAGTGTTAAGAAAGAAATTGCCCAGTGGAGAGAAGGGGAGGAGACAGACAACACAACATATCGTACGTTCATGTCCCTTTTTTCTGGGTCTCTGGTGGCCTCGCTCGGAGCTGCAGAGGCCTCCCGAGACCTCTGAGGCATCGGGGGACATTCGCATCTTCCCCTCCCCAAAGAGTCGAGGGGCAGGCCGTCTTCTTCGACGCCTTTGTTTCGGAGGATGTCGGGCGTTCCCGGGGGCTTCTCGTCGCCACGACCGGACGCGGCGGAGGAGAATGAGGACGAGGAGGACGAGGAGGAGGAGGAGGAGGAGGAGGAGGAGGAGGAGGAGGAAGAGGAGGAGGTAGAAGAGGAAGAGGAGGAGGAGGAGGAGGACGAGGATGAGGACGAGGAGGAGGAGGAGAGAACAGGAGGAGGACGAGGACGGGATGAGGAGGAGGAGGCGGAGGAGGAACAGGAGGGGAAGAGGGAGGAGGAGGAGGAGGGGAAAATAGCGCGGGAGGAGGAGACGAGTGGGAGGAGGAGGAGGACGAGGATGACGAGGAGAGGAGGAGTAAGAGAGGAGGAAGAGGAGTATGAAGATGGAGGAGGAGGACGAGGAGGGAAGAGGAGGAGGAGGAGGAGGAGAGGACGAGGAGGAGTACGAGAAGGAGGAACGAGGAGGCGGGAGAGGGAGGAGGATGAGGAGGAGAAGGAGGAGAGGAGAGGGAGTCGATGAAGTAGATGAACGAGGAGCGCGGAGGGGCCGAGGAAGCGAGTAGCGCGGAGCGAGGAGGGAGGAGCGAGGAGGGAGGAGACCCCCGTTGCCGCTCTGGCCCGAGCGCCCCGAGGTGCCGCGGCTCCCTGCCCACCAGCACGGCGAATGGCCGCCCGCCTCCCCCGCCCGTGAGGCCGAGCTCGCCTGCGGCCCGCGCGGCGCCGCGCCCCGGCGCGATGGCCCTCGGCGGGCCCGCGGCCGCGCGCGCCCAGCCCGCGGGGCCCGCCGCCCGGCCGCGCCGACCGCAGGCCGGCAGCAGGCGGCCGACCCGAGGACCCTGGGGCACCCGGGCCGCCGATGGCCGCGGGGCGGCCGCCTCTCGCCGCGGCGGCCGCCGCCGCGCTGCGGGTGGGCCGCCGCCGCGCGCGCTGCGGGGCCTGGGCGGGCCTCGTGGGCGGCGGTCGCGCGCTGCGGCGACCGCGGCGGGCGCGGCACCGCTCGCGAGGGGTGCGGCGCCGCCCGCGGCGTGCGGCGCCGCGGCCACGCGCTGTGTCGCCGCCGCGGCGGCCGCCGCTGCGACCGCCGAGGGCGGCCCCGAGGGCGACGACGGCCTGGTGCTCGTGACGGGCGCAGGCGGCGGCCTGGGGCGCCTGTTCGTGGAAGCGGGGCTGGCTACGGGCGCGGCCAGCGAGGGCGCGTCGCGGGAGGCCACCGTGGTGACCTGCGCGGGCGAGGTTGCCAGCGAGGAGGACGTCGACCGTCTGCTGGAGCGGCTGGCGTCCCAGCACCCGGGCAGGCCCATCACGGGCCTCGTCCATTTCGCCGGCGTCGAGGGGGCCGCCGAGGAGGCGAGGGGGGGCCTCGCGGCTCCCGGGAGTGAGGCCCTGGCGGCGCTGGACGCGCAGATGCGGCCGCTTCTGCTGCTGATGGGCCGCCTGTCGCCGCTCATGCAAGCCTCTGGGCGCCCGTGCCGCGTGCTCACGGCATCGCCGGGGTCCGCGGCCGCGAGTCCCTCCACCTGGGGGGGTCGCGGCATGCGAGCGCTCGCGGGGAGCTTCGCGGAACAGTACACCGAGGCGCTGGCGGAGGAGCTTCGCGGCTCGAACGTGACCGTCTGCGGCGTGCGCGTCGACGAGGCGGCCCTCGAGGCGGTGCGAGGGGGCTCCGCGGCCGCCCGGGCCGGCGAGGCCCTCGACGCGCTGACCTCGGAGCTGCGCGCCGTGTGGCAGATGCCGGCGGCGGAGGCTGGCGGCCAGGTGGTGCCCATCGGCGCGGCGACGCAGCAGCGCGCCAAGGGCGCCGCGCGCGGCGGCAGCGTGATTGGGCCGTCCTTGGACGCCCGCTGGGCCCTCCGGGCAGCCGCCAGCCGCGTCGCCGACTACCCCGCCGACGCGCGCCCGCGCGCCTACGCCGAGCTGTCGCGGGCGCTCGGCGTGGCGGAGGAGAGCCTGGTGTGGTGCCACGGGGCCTCCGACGTCATCGTCCGCGTCTCCGCCGCCGCCGGGGTGCGGGCTCGCGCGGCGAGGGGCGCAGGGGCGGAGTGCGTGGCGCTGCAGCAGGGGCCGACCTGGCCGAACGCCGCATCCCTGCTGAGGAGCGGCGGCCTGAGCGCGGTGTCTCCGGTGGAGTACCCCGACCCCTGGCAGGGGCCCGCGGCCACCGATCAGTTCTGGGCGGCGCTGCGGGAGCGCGTCGTCGGCCAGGGGGACGCGCCGCCCGCGCTGGTGTACCTGGTCCACCCGCACTTCCCGACGGGCTTCAAGGACCCCGAGTTTGGAGCGCGGCTGAAGGCGCTGGTGGCCGAGAGCGGCAGCCAGGCCATCTTCGCGGTGGACCAGACCTACACCGGCTTCACCAGCGAGACGGCGGACGACCGGCTCTTAGAGGGCCTCGCCTCCACCTCGGAGTCCGTGGTGCTGGTGCGGTCCCTTTCGAAGGCCCTTGCGAGGAGAGGGGGGCGGCTCGAGGCTCGAGTGTCGCGGCCCGGAGAAGAACAGCAGCACAGCCACAACTTTCGAAGGCCCTTGCGAGGAGAGGGGGGCGGCTCGGAGAAGAACAGCAGCACAACCATAACTTCCGGAGGTCCGCGCAGATCTCTGGGCTCGGCGCTGGGCCCCGAGCCTTGCCGCGCGGAGCGCGCCAGGGGCGGCGCCAGGGCACCCCGCGCCGATCCAGGGAAGCCGCGCGGACCTCCAAGAGGTTACATGCACAGTCGGACCGAGGCATGTTCGGGGAGGGTATCCTTAAGTCGGGCGTGTCCCCCTACAGGGGGATTCTCAAAGAAAAATATATCATACCTCAAAATTGTCCAAACATAGTTCAGAGATAGTCTGGGGACTATGTTTTATTAATATGTCTGACCTTTTTGGGGTATTGTTGGTGTCTGCTTTGAAATCTTTCGTCGATAATCCCCCTGTAGGGGGACAGGCCCGACTTAAGGGTATCCCAGTGTTCTTCGTGCTTGTTGGATGCTCTTGTGCACCCTGGGGAGGGCACCCTCGGCCTGGATGTTCTGAGCGTTTTGGCCGGCGGAGGGTCTCGCGTGCTTGAGGGATGTTCTTCAGTCCCAGGTTCGGCTGTGCGTGTTCGGACGGAGCTAGGACGAGGGTAAATCCGTTCCAGAGCGCTCCGGAACGCTCTCAGAGAGAGCGTTCCGGAACGCTCTGAGAAGGTCGCGGCGCCCGAGATATCCTCCAAAGCCGCTGGATCTCAGGGATTGTCGCTTTATCCTCACCCGGATTTTCCTCGTCCTGGCGTCGTCTCACGTGTATGCAGTTTCGTTTTTCTTTTTTCAAGCAGTGCCGAAGCGTCCTGGCGTATCTAAAGGCCTGCCAGACAATGTTCTAAGAACCCTTTGTGGTTACCACGAAGTGATCTTCGAACATTTCTGGCTGGGACTGTCTTGTTTTAGAACATCGGTTTATTTCGGGTTCTAAGAACATGTCGTGGTAGGCCTATAGGAATGCCAGGACGGTCGGTCCCTGCTCAATTCTTGAGTTTCGAGGTTTCTGCAAGCCCTTCTCGGGCCTCCGGGAGGCCTCGTCGCCGCCACGGCGGGACCCCCTCTCGAGACGCTTGTCGACATGCCTTCGGAGTGCACGTCGACAGGTCCTGTCCAGGAATGGTTCCTAGAAGTGTCTTTTTTTTTCCACAACCATCCTGTGGTGTTGTGTCCTCTCTTTGAAGAGACGGTCCCCGCGTTCCCTCCTTCCTCCCTCCCTCCTCCCTCCCCCTCCTCCCTCCTCACTGCGTCTCACCCACCCAGTATGGCTTTTCGTGGCCCCGCAGGGAGCTCCACCGAAGCCCCCAGTGGGACCGCCCGCGCGCGTCCCGGAAGCCCAACTTGGCATTTTTGCCCACCCAGCACAGCGCTTTGTGGCCCCATAGGGAGCTCCACCGACGGCCCTCAGTGGGACCGCCCGCATGCATTCCCCCCCACCCAGTGCAGCGCTTCGTGGCCCCATAGTGGAGCTTCACCGAAGAAGACATTCGCAAGTACGGTGCCCACAGCTGCATATGCTTGGGTCATTTGCCAGGATCATTTTGGTTGGGGGGGGGACGGGGAGGGCTCCTCCAGCGACCTCCGGCGGCTCGGCAAAAAAAGCAAGACTCAATATCCTTTATCCCATCCCCATCCCCATCCCCATCGAGACCCCCTACCCAATGACCACCCCAGTTGGGGATACACCCCTCGGAACCCGAAGGGAACGGCCTATATTCCCATCTAGGGGGGGAAATCGGCCAGTGGGTCCCAGGCCAAAACGATACTCAAAGACGGGAACGTTTCGTTCGGAGGTAAAGAGCATATGGCGGGGTTGCTCGCCCTTCTCGACACCTCGAGGTCGTTTCTGAAGTCTGGGGCTGACAGAAGATCAGGAGGGACAAAAACACACAGACATAACTGATCGTCGATCCCCTGGAAAGCATCGGATAATTCTTGGGAATGTGAGGGAAGACGAAAGTCACGAACACGTGAGAAAATATGGGGAATCTTGGGACTTGTGTCTATTATCTTGCACAGGGTGTCTAGAGCTCCGTTCACTGTACTTCGGCACGACACCCCCACCATCACCCACCCATTCCACCAGCCAGCGCGCCCCCAGCGCGCCCCCATCCCCCCCGCCTCATCCCCCCACCCACCGACCAGCGCGCCCCCTCCGCCCCGACCCTTTTATTTCGGCACGGCCCCCCCCCATCCCGCGCGCCCCCTCCGCGCCCCCTTCACCCACCAGCCAGCGCGCCCCCTCCGCCCGGATTCTTTTATTTCGGCACGGTACCCCCCCCACCCACCCAGACCACCATCCCCCCACCCACCGGCCAGCGCGCCCCCTCGGCCCTGACCTCGGCACGACAACCCACCCCCACCCCCCAGAGCGAACAAATCCACATCCCCCCCACCCATCCAGACCAGCGCGCCCCCTCCGCCCAACACGGCCCCCCCCCCTCTCCCCGCACCCCACGCGCCACTTTCCGCATCCCCCACCCGCACGCCAGCGCGGGAGCCCCCCCCCCCCCCCCCCCTCCGCCACGACCCTTTTATCTCGGCACGGCAGCTCCCCCATCCCACGCGCCCCCTCCGCATCGGCCCGCTAGCCAACGCCCCCTCCAGACTCCTCCCCACCCACCGGCCAGCGCGCACCCGTCGCCCCGACCCTTTTATTTATAGTCGGCACGGCCTCCCCCCCCCATCCCGCGCGCCCCTTCCGCATTCGCCCCCCCTCCCCCGCCCGCCAGCGCGCCCCCTCCGCCCCGACTTTTTGATTTCGGCACGCCCCCCCCCATCCCGCACGCCCTCTCCGCATCCTCCCCGCCAGCGCGCCCCCTCCGCCCTGACCTTCTTATCACAGCGCCGCACCCCTTTCATCCCACGCGCCCCCTCCGCATCCCCTCGCCACCGCCAGCGCGCCCTCCTCCGCCCCGATCCTTTCATTTCGGCACGGCACATCCCGCGCGCCCCCCCCGCGCCGCCCCCGCCCACCAGCCAGCGCGCCCCCTCCGCCCGGATCCTTTTATTTCGGCACGCCCCCCCCCAACCCTTGTTCTCCCCCTCCTCCGCATCGCCCCCGCCTGCGGGCGCGCCCCCACCGCCCCGACCCTTTTATCTCGGCACGGCCCCCCCCTCCCAATCCCGCGCGCCAGCACAGCGCTTCGTGGTCCCATGGAGAGCTCCACACCAGGGGCGCCGCCCCCTCCATCCCGCGCGCCCCCTCCGCGCCCACCGCCCGCCAGCCAGCGCGCCCCCTCCACCCCGACCTTCATTTCGGCGCGGCCCCCTCCCCCATCCCACGCGCCCCCCCGCCCGCCAGCCAGCGGGCCCCCTCCGCCCCTGCCCTTTTATTTCGGCACGGCCCCCCCCCATCCCGCGCGCTTCCCCTCCGCGCCCCCCCACCCGCCAGCTAGCGCCCTCTCCGCCCCGACCCTTTCATTTCGGCGCGGCACTCCCCCCCCCGCGGGGCGCATGTGGTCACAGCCACTGGGGCCGTCGGTGGAGCGCCCTGTGGGGCCACGAAGCGCCTGACTGGGAGGCGCGGGACGCATGTGGTCACAGCCACTGGGGCCTTCGGTGGAGCGCCCTATGGGGCCACGAATCGCCGTACTGGGTGGCGCGGGGCGCACGTGGTCATAGCCACTGGCGCCTTCGGTGGAGCTCCCTGTGGGACCGCAAAACGCCGGACTGGGTTGCGCGGGGCGCATGAGGTCACAGCTTCTGGAATCCTCGGTGAGGTCCCCTTTGGGCCCTCGAGACGTTGTACAGGGTGCGCTGAAATGATTGACATGCGGAGGGCAGAGGCAAGGGTGGGAGGAGGGGGAGGAGGAGGAGGAGGAGGAGGAGGAGGAGGAGGAGGAGGAGGAGGAGGAGGAGGAGGAAGAGAATGAGGAGGAGGAGGAGGAAGAGGAGGAGGAGCAGGAGGAGGAGGAGGAGGACAAAAAGGAGGAGGAGGAGGAACGCAGGGCGCTGTACCTTTCAACACGAGGACCCAACGCCACATAATGATTAGGAACAAGTGTGCATGAGTTTCACGGATTGAGGGCGGTTCGTTTTCAAATTGTGGTTTTCGTGTCGACGCCACGCACGTTTGTGTTAACAGTTTACAATCGTTTGAAAGTTTCTTATGGCTGACGTCCCAGCAATCGTGTTTTGCACGATGTAGGGTTGTCACGGTCAACAGCAATGCTGGTTGAAGGTGCCGGAGACCCAGGAATAATTTTCTGGCATGATGCAGGGCAGTCAGGACACAACATTAAGGTTGAGTCGCGGCGTTTGAGTCCCAGGAATGATGATTTGGCACGGGTGAGGATTTTCAGACGGTTGTCCTCATGAGGGCATTTCCCGCAGGATAACCTTTGTAGTGTTCTATGATGAGAGAGCATGGAGGGAGGGTTTGTTGCAACATCGTTGGTGCGTCTTGTGTTTACACTGGTCCTCCTCCTCCCCCTCCTCCCCGTCTGCCTTCTCTTTCCCCTCTTCCGCGCGCGTTCCTCCGTATCTTGTGCTCGTTCCCGTGCGCGCGGGGAACGGGAGTGGGAGAGGGAGAGGGAGAGGAGAACAAGGTGGAAGAGGATCGTCGAAACGCAAATATGCACTATGGCGTGTTGACTAACGACGGGTCCCGCTTCGATGCAACATTGATGCACGCCGTCGACACTTCAGGCGGCACTGGCGTCATTGTTCGGGGGCCAGTTTCCCTGATCCAAGGATTTGGCGCCCACGTGCCAGATCCACAGTCATCAATATTATCGTACGCCCGAAAGGAGGGGGGGAGTAGGAGGATCATCAGGAGCAGGAGGAGGAGCACCAGGAGGCGGAGCAGAAGGGCCCCATCATGCTCCTCCTGCTCCCCGATTCTTCATGGTAGTGATTTTGCTTCAATGCTTTGCCCCTGGTCTTGACCCTTTCCCAGGGACTGCCCTCCTTTCCTGGAAAGTTTTTGACAGGGGCCAAAATAGGCGACGCCGAATTCGTGTAGTAACCGGTCGTGTTGATCTTCTCGTACGCTGGAGGTCTGAGGGGGTCTTAAGGAGGGCGAGGAGGAAGCGGACGAGGAGGGTGAGAAGGAGGAGGAAGATGTAGAAAGCTTTGCTTCCACCCGAGGTCTTGACCCCGGACGTCCCTGGAAGTCTCCAGATGGCCTCGGAGACCTCCAGATGCTCAAACGTGCCAGAAACGACCATATTCCCTTGTATCCATGAAGGTTGAAGACAAATCTTCGCAGCAGGGTGAGGATGATGCTGCTGCTGCTGCTGCTGCTGCTGCTGCTGCTGATGATGATGATGATGATGATGATGATGATGATGATGATGATGATGATGATGATGATGATGATGATGATGATGATGATGATGATGATGATGATGATGATGAGAAGGAGGAGGAGGAGGAGGTGGAGGAGGAGGATGAGGGTCAGGAGGAGGAGGAGGAGGAGGAGGAGGAGGAGGATTGCGGCCACAACCCGGGAAGGTGGAGGGCCTCGCGGCCCTGAGGTTGGGCTATGCGCTGGCTGCGCCGCCGCTGGCCAGGCGGGCTCGATGGGGGAAGTGACGAGGAATGGAAAAAGGGGAGGAGGAAGACAGCAGTGGGACGAGAGGAAAGGTAGGAGGAGGGGGAAAGGAGGAGGAGAGAGAAAAGGATGAAACGGGACGATGAGGAGGCGGGGAGGAGGAGGAGGCGGATGAGGAGGAGAAGAAGGAGGAGGAGGAAAAGGAAGAGGCGCCAGAGGAGGTATTTGAGGAGGAGGAGGGCGGAGGAGGGGGAAGGGAGGACGAGGAGGGAAGAGGAGGTTCGGTTCTGCTTTCCTCGGAACAAGGTGTCACGACCTCCGCAGCCGGGGGGGGGGGGGGCGCAACTAATGAGCGGCACAGCCGAAGGAGAGGAGAGGAGGAGGTGGGGAAGGAGAGGAGAGGAGGGAGGTGAGGAGGGCCGGAGGAGGAGGAGGAGTAGGAAGGAGGGAGGGAGGAGGGGGGGAGGGGGAGGAAGGAGGAGGATGAGGAGGGAAGAGGAGGGAGGAGGAGGAGGAGGAGGGAGAGAATGGAGTAGGAGAGTAAGGAGGAGGGAGGAGGAGGAGGAGGATTAGAGGAGGAGGGGAGGTAAGGAGGAGATGATGAGGAGGACGGAGGGAGGAGGGAGGAAGGAGGAGGGAGTGAGGAGGAGGAGGAGGAGGAGGAGGAAAAGGAGGAGGAGGAGGCGGAGGAGGAGGCGGAGGAGGAGGAGGCGGAGGAGGAGGAGGGTGAGGAGGAGTAAGGGGAGGAGGAGCAGGGATTTGAGGAAAAAACTGCGTAGGAAGAGGAGCAGGATGAGGATTTGAGGGGGAAGTCGGAGGAACGGTGTGACGAACACAACTGGTGAGCCACCTTCGACAGGGACTTGCGTACCACGGTGGAGAACGTCACCGACGGCGAGCTATCGGACGACGCGTGGGAGCAAGCCACCACCGGTCGTTCTTGGGGCGGCCTCGGCCTGCGCACTGCGGAGCGCGCGTCCCTTGCCGCGTCCCTTGCCCAGCGAGGCTAGCCACCGCCCGCACGTCCGCGAGATGGCCCAGCACCATGCCCTGGCCGGCCAGTGCTTCGCGGCCACGGTCCTGGGGGCCCACGACCACCGCGAGGAGGACGTCGCTGCCACCCTGTTCGGGCTCTTCCATCCAGACCCCAGCAAACAGTTTCTTTTGTTAGTGTGTGTGTGTGTGCGCGTTAAACAAACTGCCCAAACTGGCAGACCGATCAGTGCGAGGAACGGTGGGCCAGCCTCTTCATCGCCGGCGCACACACCAGCGACGGCACCCCCAAACGGAACGACCAGCCGCTGACCAGCCCCAGCGCTGGATAGCGGTCTCGCCCCCTTCGACAAGGACGAGGACACCATCTTGCCGCGCCCCGCGGACGCGCCCGCCTCCACATGGCCATCATGGTCCGCTTCGACAAACGGGCGCGCCTGGCGCTTCGCGAGCGCCACGCGCAGGCCGGCAATTACCCGGCGCTGCGACACCTGGAGGACTTCGGCCACCCCGATAACAACCACGAGTGGCTCTGGTCCCTGAACCAGCACAAGGGGCCCATGCTCGACCACCAGGGCTTCGTCGAAGTTGTCCGTCTACGCCTCGGCGCCGCGTGCCCCAGCGAGCCCACCGTGTGCCGCCTATGCGGCACCGCGCTGCTCGATCCCGTGGGCTCCCACGCCCTCTGCTGCAGCAGACACGACATGCGACCCAGCCGCCGAGCTCGAGGCGCAGAGCCTCGTCGCGGTGACCGTGTTGCGGCCCGCGGGCGGGCGCTCGGGCACGGATTCGCCGCCCTCGATATCGGGATCGTTTCCCCCGACGCATGCAATGCATGCCCGGACGGTATGGCCAGCATGCATGGACGCAGAATTGCGCTCTACGTTCGCCACCCACCGCGACGTTCTGGACGGTCAGAACCCGCCCACACCGGGGCGCGGCGGGCCGACCCGGGCCCACGATTCGAGACGCCAGCCGGACTGTCTCCGACGGCGCGGGGTCTCCCCGCACCCCCGCCCCCGCCCGCTGCCCAACCGGCCCGCGCGCCAGACTTGAGGGGCCCACGCTCCCCTTCTTCCTCTTCCCCTTCTGCCCCTCAATTGCAGAGGAGCGGCCCGGGGGCGCTCCTCGCGGTGCCGCAGGGCTGCGATGTTGACGTCGACTCTACTGCGGTGGTGGCAGTGGCACAGCGTGCGACCACCGTGGTGGCCGTCAAGGAGTCACTCCAGCAGTGGCTGCTGTCACTGGGCCAACTGGAGCAGAATTTCGACATCCAGATGCGTGGTCAGTCGCCAGGCAAGAGGTTCATGTCCTAATTCAACGGTTTGGCCAGCCCCGCCTTCCGCAGGGTCAACAGTCAACAGCAAGTGGACGCCGAAGGGGGCCATTGGCCCCGTCTCCGCTCCAGGTCAGACAAGAGCCCGAAGCACATCAATACCAAGACCGAGATCTCCCTCCAAAAGTGCTGACAGGCTATTAGTGACCATCCCAGATCGAGTTCTTCATGGACAGGGATCGGGCCAGGCTCTCGCCGCGGCGTGGCCATCGCTGCCGCGTGGAGGCGGAGGCCAGCGAGACCCCGCCCATGCGCTGGTGGGGCACCGCCAAGCCTGCCATGCACGACGATGCCATGAAGAGGATGCTGCAGGCGGCGCGCCTCCTCGCGGCCCCGCCCGAGGATTCCCGACGGTCGTGCGCAGCACCTCTTCGAGCGCGCTCGCCTGCGCGCGGGCGCCGACTTCCCCCCGCTGTCTTTCGCGACGTGGGGCGGCAGTGCAGTGTTGTAGGCTGCCGGGGATGAAGCTGGCCTCCACAAGGATTGCGCTGCTCGTCTGCGTCCGTCGTCGACCGTCATCTCTGCGCAGGCGGTTCGCCAGAATGAGATTCGGCTTCGGTTTTTTATTCGCGGCGTTTGCCCCAGCTTGGCGCTGGTAGCGAGTTTCGCTGGAGGCGATCGCGCCGGTCGCATCGAGGGTGGCGCGGCAGCCCTTCATCCAAGGGTGGCGGCCGTGATTTCATGCGCTGCGCAGGTTGTGACGCGGGTCATTGTTTTCGGTCGAACGATTCAATCGCGGCATCTCTGGTTCTCGATCTCCGTCTATCTTCAGCGCTCACATCCGCGACCTCGCGGCGGGCGAGATCCGAGTCGCGAAGGCGGCCACCGCGCGCGAGTAGGCGGAGGCCGCGGCGGTCGGCAGCGGCGACTGCAACTCTTCGGCCGGCGAGGCCCTCACCCTCCACGTCCCGTCGGCGGCCATCAACGACTCCTCCTCCTCCTCCTCCTCCTCCTCCTTCTCCTTCTCCTCCTCCTCCTCCTCCTCCTCCTCCTCCTCCTCCTCCTCCTTCGGGGCCTCGGGGGAAAGAATCACGCAGACACACTTCATCGTCGACTCCCAGGAACATATATGGGAAAATACGGGAAGTGGGGGGGAAGACGAGAACCCAGAAACTATAGGAAGCAGGAGGGAATCCGGTTAGTTCTGTCTATTTCATGTGTGTGCCTCTGGGCCCCTTCAATCGAGCGCGCTGGCCGTCGCTGCCAGTCGCGCGCGCGCCATCGCCTCGTCGGCGCCGGGCGCTCAGCGGGCCGGCGGAGATGTTCGTCGGAAGCTGGAACATATACATCACCAGTGGCGGGCTCTCCTTCAATCCCCGGATTTTTTTGGCGGGTCGGGGGCGACGTCGGGGTGGTGTGGTGTATACTTCTGTCCCGCTTCCCCAGGGGAAACAACGGAAAATGTAGACACCAGGACCCCACATACACCGGGAGGCGCTTCCTTGTGAGAGTTTCAGCGCGGGGCCGGCAAAAGCGTTGGCGCCTAGAGCTCGGTGCCCTGGCTCGGGGCGACGAGCCGAGCCCCCGGCCGACCCCCCCTGGTCGACGGGGTCTGCTGCTCGCCCCCCCCGCTGGCAGGTCTGGCCGGCGCGCGCCTTCTCGGCCTCGCTCGGGGCTGCCGCGGCGGTCTCGGGCGAGACGACTGTCGATCCTAGACGCGATCGCGTCGGAAAACAAAAACAGGATGGGAAGTTTTTGATTATTTTCGGCCCCGGCGGGCCCTCGCCGGGCCTCGGGGCCATCAAACAACGACTCAGGACGAAAAACCGGCCCCAGGGAAAGGGTCGGGACTTCCAGGGGCGCCGTCCTGAATAAATCAGGACGTCGCATGTCTGGGATTATGTCGCGGCGATCGTTTCTTTCTCCTCTCGCAATGCTCGCGCGTCTGGCGGGCGCCCCCCCGAGCACAGAATCCCGCGCAAGGAGAAGAGCTCCCAGGGCAGGTCCTAGCGACTGGTCGACACTTCGGAGCGGGACTCGACGTCGCCCCCCATGCGCCATGAACATTAAGATGCCCTCCTCAAGACCGCCGGCGCAGAGATCCGTAGCCATTTCGGCTCAAGTAGCCATTGCCATTCTGATTCCAGGCTGGTGCTCGGCTTCGCGCCGGCCTACTCGTGCGCACGCGCTTCAATCCGATGAAGATGCAGCTCGACGCCCTGGCAGCGGGTGCCAGCAACGATGACGTGCAGCCGCTTTTGCCGCTTTCAGCACAGAGCGGCAAGAATTGGTTGCGTGCTGCGCTGGCTACTGTGGTGATCGTGGCGGTTGCTATCGCGTCCGTCATGGCTTTCAGCCACCAGAAGCTTCGAGCGGAGTCCGTCAACTTGGTCGCGACGCAGTTGGCCAGCACCATCAAGCCTTTAAAGCCGCGGAAGGTGTGTGCTTCAGGCGCAGAGAGTTGCATGGACTCGGGCTGCTGCAAGCAAACAGGCGCAAAGTGCTTCAAGATGGATGACAAGCACGCTTGGTGCAATATGACTTGTTCCAAGGGGAAGGGTTGGTCCTGCGAGGACATTACTGCCACGAAGGATGAAGTGGCAGCGGAAAACCCAGGTACAACGTTGTACTGCTACACTGTGGTTTTCCGCGATAACCATGGCAAGCCCAACCATGAGCTGGATTTGTTGAAGATGCAGATGCAGAGGGGGCTGAGTCTATTTTCATGCGATGCGTACGAGATTTTCAGCGACGTGCAACTCTCGGTGGGCG